TTTCGGCGGCAAACCTGCCGAAACTACGACCGAAACCGAAACTGCATTCGTGAGTTCCCGCGCTGTGATCGGTCATGTTCGGCGCGTTGAATTTCATACAAGCGACGAAGACATTTTGCCGCATCCACGTACCTAATCATGTCGTGACTTACTTTGTGATTTACTTTATTACATAAATATTAAGTACCTATTGTGATATTAGGTAACAACTTCAATAAGTAATTTCATGTTTAATATTTTTGAAAAACCATCAATAATATTCAAAAGAAAGGATGAACACATACTCAAATAAACACCTCACCTATTTTAAGTATTTTCAAGTTGCAATTAATATTTTTTTTAAATAAGGGTTTGTTATGTTGATTATCAATAAGTAAACATGTCGAAGACTGCGTAACGTTGTGATTTAAAAATAAAAAAATTAAGACTGACTGATTGTTATAACGTTTTCTTTATTTTTCCATCAAAACATAATCCTTATAAGAAAGTTTCGGTTTCGGCCGAAACTGAGACCGTTGCCGAAATTCGTTTTTGGTTTCGGTTTCGGTCGTAAAAACCAGTTTCAGTCGGACACCACAGTGTGATTATATTTGATAACATCTTTCACATAGATGATAACTCCATCATTTTTGTTGAGTTCTCCTACACTATAGATCATCTGATAACCATCTAGATTGTATAGATCTTCACACTCAGAAATATTGAATGTTTGACTTAAAAATACTTTGAGTTCATCTATATTTTTTGTAATACTCCTTATATTCTGATGGAATATTTTAAGGATTCTGTTACAGTCTATGTCAGTTATAATATTGTTGATGATTGTGGTGATTCACTATAACTTTCTGCAATCAAACCAAACAGATCCTGCCTCATGACAACGACCGTCCGCACGTTTCACAAATTTCCGTCCGAAAATTAAATGAATAGAGCGTCTTAGTTTTAACTCACCCACCATTCTCACTAGACCTCCCGCCAACTGACTACCACCTTTTCAATCACTTCGATAACTTACTCACCAGTAGAATTTTCATCATTCAAGACCAGGCAGAAACAGATTTCTTAGAATCTTGAGAACCCAATTTTTATGCTGACTGAATAAATCGGCTTGGGTTGCGTTCGCAAAAGTGCACTGATTCAAATGGCGCCTCTTTAGATTAAATTGAATAGGTATTCACTGAATGATTAGTTCAGAGTAGACTCATAAAAACGGACGAACACTTTTGAAGCAACATTATACTTCATTCAGTTCAAGAAACAGTGTTTATAAAATATGCTTTGCGAAAGAGTCAATGCTTCTTACTATTTTTCAAGTTTATAACCTTTTACAATCTGAAAAATATACAAAGCTGAAACAATAGACTAAGGCCCCCACAGACGTCTTTTTTTTTCGACAAGATTACCCGACAAAACTGTTCGGGCAATCACGAACCGTGGTGGCGCCCACACACTCCTCGATTCAGTTTTCCTTCAGTATTGTCATGGAGACGACAGTGGCGTTAGTTGCGGTTTTAGCAATAAAAGTTAAATAAAATATGCTAAGAGAAAACGCTCTAAATGGACAAAAGAATGGTTTCTAAAAAGGAAACAAGTCTCTCACGTTAATTTATTGTAGGAATTGCGGTTAGAACCAGGTGATTGGTTCAATTATCTGANTCGTCTTAATATTAAATATCACTTTCTACAAACATTCATATTTCTAAAAGTATCGTAAAAATACTATTTCGTAAAATATATTGCTTTCTGTAAATACAAAAACAACACTGAAAATATTACAATTATAAAAATGAAGACTGTTTCCGTTTTCTTCTTCTGCAGAGGTAGATTCCTGTCAGCTAAAGACTTCATTATGCGATCTTGCATTTCCTTCGAGTTAACTGGAGCGGAATCATTCCCATGGCTAGATACACATCTAGATTAGAAGTTTTCTATGGTTGTACATTGCACACAACCTTGGCCTTTTATGAGACGTCATTGTATAATGACGGTCCTGGAATAATAAGGCTTTTTGGATTGAAAATATTTTGGGTAAATTATGACAGATGCGTTTTAAACATTAATTCTTGTTTTGAGCCTATATAGGAAACTTGGCAAGACTAATTTCACATTGAACATCTTGAGTTTTGTCGAGATTACTTCACTTAAGCATTACTNAGGGGAAGGCATGTTGGAATATTTGGAAACATGTTCCTAATATCAAACGATACTAATTTAATGTTATTGTTAATTTTTATGTTGTAGAGTTTGTTTGTCAGGTCTATAGAACCTTCCCACACCATACTAAATTCTACCAATTATTTCTAAATTCACAAAATGCAACAATATTAATTTTGAAAATTATTCTCTATGATCAAGTTTCCAACAATTTTAAGATATATATTTGTAGTTTGAAATAAGTATGAGATATCACGACAAAAGAAGTGAGTCACGAAATACAAGCTCTAATTTTTATTACAGTTCAAGTGGCCGTAGAAAAGTGGAAAAATTGCTTTCATTCTACGTAAATTGGTTTGATTGTACGTAAATTGGTATTTTTTTATGGCAAATCATTGAAATATTCTCTTCTCTCGAACCGAAGTTTATTGCCGAAAAACACATGGATATTTTAGAATGACAGACGCTACTTGGGATGTTTGGAGTAGGTAAGACTGTTATGTATTGGACACCGGCCCAAGTATAGTTAATCTGCTGTGAATATATTTACAACCCCGACCATGTTGTCACTAGCGATTATTTTCGAAAGTGACTTGAGAAACATTTTTGAAGCGAGACATTGATTTATTCGGTTCGGGCTAATCCTAATTTTTATTCTCCTCGCCACGAGGTTTCACTATTTTTGTTTGTTCGTTTTGTTGGTGTTGTTAACAAATGTTATTATTTGTAAACGCTGCGTTTGATTAATTAATAATTCATCTATCACCCTATCCCGACAAATATTATTCTAAAAATATACTTACTAGTAGAAACTGGCCCCCCAATCATCGAGAGGAGAAATATGCCTGGACGATGAACTGTGACTAGGTAGGCATTGGAAGCAATAATTCGCGCCTCTATTGTTGTCCCAATATTGACACCCTCTACACTGGAATCGACAAGCAAACTCTATTCTCTCTCCTATTGATAACGTGTGAGCGTACAGTCGAAAAGAAAATCTATCTGAAAATCCATCACACGAGTTGTTTACGTACGTTCCTTGTACATCAGCGAATGTCTTCCAAGAATCGAGAGAGTATCGTATGTGTAAAGACTTGTGGAAGTCCAAGTTTCGCACCCGAACAGTACCAGAGATGGAGAGTGTCACTGGATCGTCGAATAGAGCATTTTCCAAACAAACTTGATTCTCCCTCACCAAATCTAGAAAGTTCGGAAGTCCACCTGGTTGCTGAAAAAGCGGCATAAGAAACTTGCCCACTTCTGGACCGTTGAGATTAGATGGTGATAGGGAGTTACTAGTATTATACAAATCCGCCTCAGGCAGATCTACATACGCTGACACTGGAATCTTAGGAATTTCATCCAGGAACGTTCTTACATCTGCTAGATCTAGACCCAAAACGTCTGCGAATCTAACTATCTTTTTTCCTCCTGGAGTACTAGGAGGTGTTTTTCCAGTTTTGAGCGAAGAGCACCTCCTAACGCGTGGCGATTTTTTCTCGGTATCCTCATCATCATCTTCTACAGCACTGCTTTCAAATTCGGCACTACTGAAGCTGCTATTGACCACAATCTCAGGAGTTACTTCTTCTTTATTTGTGAATTCCGCCAATAATTCTTTTTCAACGGTTATTTGACTCACATACGTTTCTCGTTCGCTGTCATTTGTTTCTTCTTTTTCGATTGTATCGGGTGTACTTCCATTGAATTCAGTATTTTCGGTACCTGTTTCATACCTAACAATAGAAAATGTTGATATATCAAATACAAAAAAAAATTTAAAGAGTATGAAAATTCAATATGCCTTCTTTTCTTTGAGGTTATTTCAATACTGCTCGTCTGCATTCGTCTGCGGTAAACAAGTATATAATATTCTGGAAAGCGAAACTTTGAGAAAATGCGCTCGTTTTGGTTCAAGATAAGTGTTTTCATAAAATCAACAGATGAATAATTCACCAGAGCTATAGACCTCAAAACAGTAATTCAGATGAGGTAATATAGAGAAGGTATCAACATTGATAACTGCGAATCACTCAATAAACGAGAGGATTTATTGAATATTCTCAAAACTTGAAAATAATCAACAACCTACTCAACTGCTCAGGTAAAATCAAGCATCCAATCAGAATAGCTGTCGAGATAATCTTTGTAATCGACAACGTATACAAACTCCATAAGTTTATCCACAGAAAGTGCAAGCACTGCTTTCCGATGCGCACTGAATTCTGCAAGTGATAGGTATATCCAGAGACTTACAGCAAACCCACCATTTGGACGTCAAGTGTCTTTACGGGTGAAGAAGGAAACTTCACATGAAATAATGTCTTTTTTTCGTGTTAACGGCATTGATTACTATGGTTACTAGCCTCGTGTTTTGGGAGGGCTATGTTAATAACCAAGTTGGTGTCTTCAGGAGTTGAAGTAAAGTTTACTTATGCCTGTTTTCGATTGAGATACATTCTCGCGAGAAAAGTCGAGTTCGAAGTCAGAATCGATCGAGAACCGGGCACTTGCCATTGTGCCGATTCTCCGCTACGTAATGCTATTACGAAATTTCATAATAATACTTTTTGTTGTTAGTAAAATCCACATGCTATTGTAGAAATTCATCATTGACAGCAGTTTTTTCTCTCAACATTTGTGCCGGCGTTATAGATGATAAATCAGTCATATCCTGCGTTTTATCTGGTCGTTAACAGACTGTCACACGTATTTCCAGTTTTTACAAGTAAAATTGTCTCATTTCACGAATTTCAGGATACAAAATGTGGCTAATGTCATATGAAAAAATATGCAATTCAATTTTAACAATTGTTACAAGAAAATTATCAGTTTGAATTGCTTTTGCAGTTTATTATATCGTAAGGCTGGCCACACACATTGGGGTTAGCAAAGTTTCATGTGGAACGCCGCACACTAGTCAAACCATTGGTTAGAGTCGTTGTGGAAGGTTTCGCAACATTTCACAAAGTGAAAATGTCTTAAAACATTCAGATGGCGCATGCGCGTGAAAATAACGTTTCTTCCTCGTCCATTGTTTAATGAACACAAACTGAGTCAGTTATTATGAACGAAAAAGTTTCGATCTGGGTGCAGGTTGCCAGAAAAGATCGAAACGTTTTTTGTTCGAAACAATCTTCTCGAACCAAAACGTTTCGATTACAGTGAGGCGAGACTAGTCTCAAACATTGTTACTTTTCAATAATTGTTAGAACAAAATTATTACTTCATATCACTTTTTGTATCCCTATTTATCACTAGCAAATCCCACGACGCGCATACCAAATAATTGAATTCAATAGGAAAAATTTTGATACCTTGGGTAATATTGCTGTCGTAGGATTTCTTTTTTTTTAATAACAATCTATCAGCCATAATAAGTACAAAAAGTAACAGTGTAGTATTTAAAATTCCAAAGAGCATACAGGTCGTTTCTTTTATCAAGTGGTAACATTGCTAATATAAACCGTAACAGATACGAAGACGATTAAATGGGGAAAAAGGTAACTGTATCACATTTGATATTTTTATAGCGTTTCATTTGATTTGAGTTCCGTGGTGGCCGTGGTGGTGAACGGACGTGCCCACAAAGAAGGTACGCAGATGCCATGTGCTATCGTGGGGCTCTGTTTTGTGTTGTGTTAGTCCATTGTGTTAATTATTGAAATGTGTGAGTGTCTTTTAAAAAAGTGATGAATAAAGGGTCTCCTTTATTCACGCCGGTATCCAGGCCGGGGTGGTTCGGATAACCACGTAAAAGGGGCACTGCTTCGTGCAAGACCGCTGCGCCCCCGACGAAGCTCCTGTCAACCAACAGGACGAACATTGGTCATAAGCGCCTGAAGATAGGAAGCAACGACCATCCAAAATAGAGAGGTAGAGAGAGAGCGTTTCATTTGAAATCACCACTATCATCAGTGACAACAATCAAACAGAAAAACAATTTATTTTATCATGAACTTTTGAGAAAAATGAAACCAGTACGGAAAATTAAAACTACATGGGAATCTACAACAGATGCTCGAATTGACGACCTATTTGTTGAATGCACATAAGTTGTCGGTCCAGACAATTGCTGTGGCAATTTTCTAACATAATAGGTGTAATACTAAAACATGCATCTCTTTTTTGTTTGAGATGGTCGATATTTGTACTTGGTGTAGAAAAAACTGTATCCTTTATGTATCCCCAGACAAAAAATCTAAGGGACTAAGGGAGTAAGATCTAGGAATCGAGCTGGCCAGTTAATTGATTCATTGTTTCCATTCCATTTTCTTGAGAGTATTGCATCTAAATGTTCCCTTACTATTGCTGCATCATGGGGAGAAGCGCTGTCCTATAGAAAATATTGTATTTTATGGCGGATATTCAGTGGCAATAAGTAGCCATCGAATTCATTGAATCGTACTCTCCTTCCGTAACCCCTTTCATTGAGGTGATGAACTTTGTGTATCCTGTGGCATTTATATTTGTTCTTTCTCAAAATAGTTCTTGTGGATTTTACAGAAATCCTCATTTCGTGGCCAATTTCTCGTAAAGAACAATTTTGATTAGTATAATTTTTGTAACTGGCCAATTCTAAATTAAAAGACAGATGTTTTTCACTGTGTAAATTTTTATGTAGTAATATTTGCTTACCCATAACATTTATTACAGTAACCACACATATTCTTGTTTTCTTTATGTCTAATGCACCATAGTTCCTCAAATTCCTTTCTAATCGTCTAAACATTTAGATGTTCGGAATACGACGATTCGGGTATAGCTCAACATACATATCCTTTCCAAAAGAGGATTTATATTTGATTTTGCATAAATATTTAGCATATCAGTCCTTTCATCATTTGAATACATCTTTGATATGTTCATAAACGTCTGACGGTTCTCAACAAACATCAACAACCAAGCAAAGCCGACGCGTTTAAGATGGTAAATGAATTGAGATGCTATTTGATCATACCAAATTATACAACAATCAAATTTTGACCAAAAACTGATATTTTCATTCCTTCCAGGATTGAGAATTATACAAATCTTGAGAATTATATTTGATTAGGGAGAAATCCGCCTTGAAAGAAGGATTATGGCAATACAAAAATTTCCAAAACGAAATAGTACAAATTTTCATTGTGTTAGGGTACCTACCTGTCGAATTTATTGGATTGTCTGAATTATATTTTGAAGAAATCGAAACAATTTACGAAAGACGTAACGACAGGACCTTAATTTAAAATTGTTATCACTGATTATGGTAGTTATTTCAAATCAAACGCTATAAAAATATCAAAAGTGATATACCCTTGGATTGTGAATTTATTGCTTTATCAAAAAAAGACAGATCCGTATTTTACAAAAAAGTTGATGGTGGCCATATTGACACGAAACGTTTTATCGAATATTTATTATTACATCGTCATAATAAACTTCGAATACAATAACATTTTCTTTTTCCATTTTTTTATATTTTTCGAAATAATCATTTCATACGAAAAAAAGAAAGAAACAGCATTTTGGTTTTTCCTGTATAACCCCGTAAATTTCCTTCGACCATTGTATTGTTCCCGATGGCAGTTACTTTTTTCCCATTTAATCGTCTTCGTATCTGTTACGGTTTAGATTATAGCAATGTTACCACATGACAAAAGAAACGGCCTGTATAGAGGAAATTAATTGAAGAAGCTCCCAATTGAGAACAAACTTGTGCGTAGGGTAGTTTTTCCATTAATTAAAACGAGTCATATTTGCTTTAGTATACCTATAGAACAATTTCAACCTTAAATTCAAAACTAAAATGCATATTATTTCACAAATGAAACGTTTGGTACTACAAGTTCCACTCGACCACAGCTTACCAGCCAGGATTTTGTTCTCTTTAATCGTGACCGCGGCCTTGAAAGTTTAAGTTTTCTTATTGTATAGCTATCATATAACGAAAATATTAAAGATACTATTGAAAAATGAATGTTATATTTTACTTTCGAAAACAAAATTATTTTTTCTTTGAAATATTGGAATCCACCACTAATGGTTTCATCGAGAGTGCCAATTTGTTATATTTCACTACCGAGAAATAACTATTTCTCAGCGCCATTTCCAAAAAAGGGAAAACGATCGTTATCTCCCGAATTATAAAAATACAATATATATTTCAAAATTTGACTTGTGAGTGGATACTAGTGATTAACTACATTTATCACGTAGGACGTATGTATAGCAAAAAGCAAGTGTCTAACTAGACATGATTTTATATTTTGGAGCATAAAAATAAATTACAAAGGCTTCTCTTATTCTGCAGTTGAAAGAATGGACCACTGCGATATTTATGTATTTGAATAGATTTTCTCTTTTGATACGACATATTCATTTTTTATCTTAATCTTAAAAAAAAATCGGGAATAGCATTTAGGAACATGATGTAGGAAGACTACATTAGGCATGATAAAAGGTAATACTGAAACCTGTGGCGTGGAATAAATACAAAAACAAGCATTTCTCATAACCACCAGAAATTCAATACTCTTCAGGAGATAATTATTATAATAAATGACCTTTATTCATCGTTCACATCGATTGCCGATGAAAGGCGAAGTTCAGCTTACGCTGTTTCACAACAAAAAAATAATAAGTAAATGATTACAAATTACAAGTTATCTCTGAGGGATATTGCTATTTAGTACATCACACTGAATGAAAATTATTGATTAGATAGGGTAGAAAGAACATTCGAGAGTTATAT